GAGGAAGCACTGAGCACCACTGGGCGTGGCCCCCAAACCAAAAGAAAATAAAAATGAATTAAAAAGTAAAAGATAAATTGAGCAAGAGCAGACAAAAATAAAAATCAGTCCTACAAAATGCATCTTGTCTAAAAATAATTGATAATTATACTCAGTTCTTTCACTAACGAACCTGCTTTCAGGTTTGTGAATTCAAAAAGAAGCGATGAACTGTCAAGTTCTGATAAAACTAACAGACGATAACTTTATAATTCCACCTAATTTCAACCATGAGTATTTTAATTCTCAAAATAAGACATTTGTAAGCACTAAAAACACATTTTACCTAAATGCTGCTGCTGAAATAAAGTACAGCATTTTATGAAACAAAACAGCTTTTAGAATGGGATATGACTTTAGTTATGTCATCTTAGTGGAACTAGGGGAAAAATACGGAATTCTTAAGAGTGGGGCTGAGTAAGATTTGGGTTTCTCATTCAGTCAAAATTTAATTAAAAAGCCTGCCAGGCCCCAGAGAAATTAAAGTAGTAATTCTTTTACTACTAAGAAGCTCGCCAGGTTGGATAGAATATAGAGAACTGACTGGGTAAGGCACTCTGCCTTGCACACAGTTCGAACCAACCTTAGTTCTCTGTACTGCGTATGGTCCCCCAAGCATAATCAAATAGTGACTCCATAGTTCAGAGCCAGAAGTAAGCTCTGAGCACCACAATGTGTGGCCCATCCCCTATCCTCCCAACCGTCCCCAAAAAGCAGCAACTAACAAATGGGTCGGGGATGGCTCAGTGGCAGAGCATCTACCTTACAAATATAAGGCCCTAGGTTTGATCCCTGACACCATGTATACGAAAAAGCCACAGGTTGTGGTCTTAAGGTGATTAATTATGTTTTACATTTAGCCAGTATTTACAAATAAGGGGGATCAGTGGCATACCCAGGGAAGACTATTCAGCTGTAAAGGATGTGCTGAGAATATGTAACATCCAACAAATGTATTACCACAGAGAACATAATGACCAAAATCAACAAAACCATATAATGATCTGTTAAGAAAAGGAAAAAAAGGTGAGAAGAGTGGTGAGAGAGTAAAAAGATTTCCCTATGTAGAGAACAAGAAACCAAAGACAAAGCAGGACTGGGAGGGACAGGACAGTGGGTAAGGTGCTTGTCTTGCATGGGGCCAACCACGGTTTGATTCTGGCACCAGGTCACACTAGTACTCCCTGAGCATGGCCAAGTGTGGCCCCAAAACAAACAAAAGAACCAAAAACCGCATGTTTTAAAGAAAATATCTCAAACCCAAATAGGTACAATAAATCCAACATCTGCTAGGCTCTTTAAGTCTTTTTTTTTTCAAATATAATTTTTTATTATTATTATTATTAGTGAAACACCATGAGGTACAGTGTAGATTTACAATTTTTTGTGCTTGGGTTTCGATTATACAATGATCAAATACCCATCCCTCCACCAGTGCCCATTTTCCACCACCACGGATCCCAGTATCCCTCCCACCCCCCATCCCTCCCATCCCACCCTGCCTCTGTGGCAGGGCGATCCCTTGTGTTCTCTCTCTCCTTTTGGGTGTTGTGGTCTGCAAAAGAGGCTTTGAGTGGCAAACATGTTCAGTCCATAGTCTACTTTCAACATGCATCTCCCCTCCTGGGAAGATCCTCCAAACATAGGCTCTTTAAGTCTTACTAAGAGTTACTGATGAGTCATGAGCAGCACAATAGCAGTGGCACATCACAAATTCCCTAGTCTAGGAGTCGTAGTAGAGGCAAAATACTGATGTTTAACTGCAGCTAGTAATTTAAATGAAGGTAACACTGCTTTAATAATAATAATTTAAAAAAAAAAAAGTCCCACTACCCGCTAGCAACATTTAAAGCAGAGGAAGACAACCAGATGGCTTCTGGGGTCATAGTAATCTGGAATATTCATTACTAATGAAGGTAATATTATTAAAGCAGCTGACTTAGAGATACTAAAAACTACTAGACCGGCGGATCAGGTATCATCTAGCCCAAATCTTATTTTATAAAAGGAACTACTAGCCGTCTGTTACATATCAAGCAGTGTTTGAATCCTGCAAGAAAAGCACCTCCATTTTAAAGTAAGAAAATAGTCTTGCGGCTAGAGCAATGGCACATGGGGTAGGGTGTTTGCCTTGCACGCGGCCAACCTGGGTTCGATTCCCAGCATCCCATATGGTCCCCCGAGCACCGCCAGGAGTGATTCCTGAGTGCATGAGCCAGGAGTAACCCCTGTGCATTGTTGGGTGTGACCCAGAAAAAAAGTGAAAAGAGAGAGAGAGAGAGAGAGAGAGAGAGAGAGAGAGAGAGAGAGAGAGAGAATACAGTCTCAGAGACGTAATACACTAAGATTGAAAAAAAAAGTGAAATTTTCCTAGAGCCAATTCAGGTACCCCTGGAGCTTATGATCCCTGAGCACAGTTGTGTGCCCCACAAATCCCCCCCACCAACACACATAAAGCAAGTATGTCGGTGTCAAAATACTCTTTCTGCAGTGGGGCAGAGAGGTGGTAAGAATAGTTGGAAAAATCAGGAAAGGATCTATAGATGCGCTGTATAAGGTAAAATCTAGTTTGTTTTGGCTTAAAAAAAAAAAAGAAAAAAGAGAAAAAAGAAAAGGTAGGTAAGATATACCATGATAGGACAGCCTAGGAAAAAAATAATAGCCACAGCTATATAACCAATATATTACTGGCTGAGGTAGGTCTTACACTTTCATTTAGTATTTGCCAGAATAAACGATGAATCCAAAAAAGAACACTGGCCCAGCCTTTTGTTTTGGTGATCCTATCAATAAGCTTCTAGGCTGCCTTAGTATGAGGAAGATAGAAGTTTCAAGGTTTTAATACTTACAAAGAACATATTGCCTCCTGCCTCACAGTTGTTAATCTTACAGAATACAGAATTCTGAGTTTGTTTCCTCGGGAATATAGTGATGAGATCATTTTAAGGTCTCTTCCAGGTTTCTGATTTTAGGGGGAAATGTTTGTATTATCTAACACTGACTTAAATGAGTCCTGCCTGTGTCATAATAAAGTAGAAAAGAAAAATATAGAAAAGTAAATCACTTCAAGACCCAAAATAATCCACTAACATGCTTTTTTCTTCACAATACTACCAAAAAACATCATTCTAAAGAATTTTACTGGAAGCATTTAACCCAAATTAGGAAAACCAAAGTACCTGGGGCCAGAGAGATACAGAACAGCGGAAAAGGCTGAGGCCAACCTGGGTCATCACATACTGTGTCCTAAATCCCACCAGGAGTGATCCCTGAGTACCTCCCTGTGTGGCCCAAAAAAACAAAAGAAAAAGAACAAAGAAAGAAAACCAAAGTATATAATCAAACAAAATACATCATATATAATCCTTTTTTTTCTTCCTTAGTATTTTTTCTCCAATTCTTCATCTTCAGGAATTTGCTTTGACAAAGCATGACACTAAGCTCTAAATAAATATATCAAAACCAAGTACAGCTAATCTATGTAAGTATTTTTACAAGATCAGTACTAGTATAAAAAAGATTAAGGTTTAAGGTACCAACCAAGATACATAATACTGTTACATTAATTTCACAGCTCCTGGATAATGTTTCTGGATAAAGAATTTTCGGTCTGTTTCCAGATCCTCTTTATTCAATTTATAGACCGAGACTCCTACCTCTGTTTTCAAAGCCAAACCAAACCAGATTTTACCTTATATGGCGTATCTACAGACCAATCTTCTTACCAGTTAACTCATTTTTCTACTATGCGCCTTAGGGTTCCAATTCTATGCTTAGCTTTCCTTTCCTGGTTTCCCCAACCGTTCTCACCACCCCTCTGCCCCAATTTCTAGATATCTCCTATCTCTTCATTCCTAGGACCCACTTTTCAAGGTTGTGCAATTCCCAACCCACCTCCTGAAAATCAGTTTTTGTACACCGGACCTCTTCGGAGCCCAAGATTTTTCTTTCCTAACCCTCTCCCCAAGAACGCCTATGGACGCATCTCTCCAATTCTGGACTACTTGCACACCTGTCACTGCCCTCCAGAATCCTGCCTGCTCGGGATCCCACAAATCAACATGCAAAAAAAAAAACAACAACAACAACAACAACAAAAAAACCCGCCTGGCTCGTCACTCCCCCGCTCCTGCTTTCCAGCAACCGGCTCCCGTGACCAGCTCGTTGCAGTCGCGGCGCTGGGTCCAGTGCACGTCGTGACCCGGCCCTGTCCAACTCCCAGGTCTCATCTCTCCGCGACCCCCACGGTCCAGGAAATGGGTTCGACTCCCCCGCAACATTTTAAGGTCCGGCTCAGGGCTTTGTAAACCCAGAATCTTAACAAACCAATGCGTCGCTTCCCGGGACCCCGCTGGCCGCCGAAAGCGGGGGACGGACACCGCCTCCCCGAGCCCCGGCCCTCGGCAGCGCGCGGCCACTCCCCCCACCGGTTCCGGGGTCCGCGGGCTCATCAGGCGGTGCTCCTCTTTCCCGGGGCCGGTCCCGCGAGCCTGCCCAGCTCCCGAGTCACCCCCGTCCTCCCCGGAACCGGCTTCAGGCCGGGGAAGGCGCTCTAGAACCTTCCGGCCCGAGCCGGGCCGAGGAAGAGCCTCGCGTCTTCCCTCGGTTTTCCAGGACATCGAGTTCCCAAGCCCTCCCCGACCGCCCCCACCCCGAGTCGGTCCCCTCCTTCCCCTCAACTTTCCTGCAGCCCCCAACCCTCCCCGCCGCCTCCATCCATCCATCCATCCATCCATCCCTCCCTCCGCCGGGGGATCCCTCCTTCCCGTCTCTCCGGCCCCCTCCGCCCCCAACGCCCATCCCCCGGCGCCTCCTCCGTGCTCCCCTTCTCCGCCTCCGCGGGGAACGAAGGGCCCCAGGCCGCCGCCAACACGCGCTCCGCTCGCCAGCCCCCGGCAGCCCGGGCACGAGCCGGGAGCCGGGGCGCGGCGGGAGCGGGAGCGGGAGGAGGGGGCACCTACCCCATGCGCATCTTCGCCCCGCTCTGGCTGCCCCCGCTGCCGGGGAGAGGAGGGCGGGAGGGCAGACGGCCGAGGTGCATGCTCTTCTCGAGCGCCGACATGGAAGGCAGGGGCCGAGCACGCAGAGGGCCAGCAAGCAAGCGCGTCGTCGCACGCCCGGCGCGGCCAGCAACCCAGCTCCCGGCAGCACCGCGCACAGCCTCCCGGCGCCCCAGGCCCCACCTCCCGCTCCCGCCGCGCAGCCACCGGAAGTGCGCAACAGTCCTCCACAAAGGAAGTTGGGTAACGGAGTCGACGGCGCCGTCCCGCCCCGGAAGGAGAAAGGCGCCCGAAGGAATGCACTCTGGGCCATGGAGTCCTCCGCGGGCCCGTCCCTCTGCGCCTGCGCAGCCACCGGCGCTTCCGGCCGGGCCGGCAGAGGTGAGCAGCAAGGCCTCCTGGGTGTTGTAGTCTTCCCGGGCTTGCCGGTGTCCCCCGAGGCGCCTCCCCTTCTCGCCGGCCGCTCCTGCGAGTCTGTTAAAGGAAGCGCCGCTCCTTCCTGCCTCCCAGGCTGCCCAGCGGCGCCGGTTGCCGGGGAACCCTGGCGCCTGGGGGACGGGATGGCGGGAGGACACGGCTTGGGTGCGGGGCACCCAGTTGAGTTGGAGAAGAGGAGCTGGGGATCGGCATGAAACAACGAAAAAGCCAGGGGCCCGGGGGCGGCCGTGGCCGCAGGAAGAGAGGTAACCTGAGGAAAATAGAGGTCGGGCTTAGGGCAGCTCGGGGGTGAGGAACGCTGCAGACCGACGCCGGCAGACACACACAAAGGAAGGAAGAAAGAGGACGGAGGGGAGCCCGGGAAGCCGAAGGCGCGAGCACAGGGCGATCGGGCCTCCCATTGGACGGGAGGGAAAGGGGGGCTGGGCTGGGGGCTGAAAGTTACCTGGGTGCAGGTAGGACTCGATCGGAGGAAGCGGACAGAAAAGCCCGGCCGGGTTTTCCTGGACCTTTTCCCGCTGAGGTATGAGTGACAGAGAACCTCTTCAGCAGCCCGGCTCGATCATTCGATACCCGTTCCTGTTGCGAAAGGCCAGCCACGGAAGCGCTCCTGCTTGGCGTCCTCGGAGTTGTCTTTCTGTCTTGTTTACTTTTTTTTTTTTTTTAAATAACGAAGTCAAGTTTGTGCCGTGTAGCTCCGACGGTTCACGTGGGACTGGGAGCAACCGAAGTGGGCAGAGGGGAGTGTGATGGTGCCCCTCTGGCAAGGCAGTGATGTCTCCTGAGTCCCCCAGAAGTGGCGCCAAGCAGGACTCAGCAGATGTTACCCAAAGGAGTCGTCGAGGCGTGTGACAGTCACGGAGCCTGAGGGGCTGCGGGAGGGATTTGGGGAAGACAGAATGTGGAGAGAGTCAGGAGGAGTCGGGAGGGTGACACTGTGTAATGCAATCCGGGGCGCGAAGCCCCGAGGGACACCCGCGGGCCTGAGAGGACCGGAGAGCTCATCTAGAGCACCCCAAGGAGTTAGAATGGCCCGGGAGAATCGCGCTCCCCAGGAGAGGCTGGCAGGGTTAGGTGCGGCAAAGCAGTGTCGCCCTGGAAGCCCAGGACAGACAGGAAACTGGACGCTGAATCTCTCTTTTCTCAAAAATAGTTTGAATTGATTGACCTTTTTTTTTTTTAATCATAGGCCAGGAAGGTATTAGAAATAGTGAGAGTCTATCGAATAGTGGGTTGAGGACTGAGGCCAGAGTCCCGGAATGAATGTTATTAAAGTGATTTCAAGGTAACCAAGGCGAGTTCTGAGACCGAGGGAGAGAGGCGGGAAGCGTTCAGTGCTGCTGCTGCTGCCCTAAGTGTCAATCCAGTTGCACATATTTGGTTGATTGGAAAATCAAAATAAGTACCGAAGAGAGAGTGGGGGGGGGGGACCGGAGCAATAGTACTGCGGGTAGAGCATTTGTGTTGTATGGGACCAACCCAGGTTCGATCCCTGGCATCCATATGGTCCCCCCAAGCACCTAGAGTAATTCCTGAGTGCAGAAACAACAGTAACCCCTGAGCATTGCAGGGTGTGACCCAAAAAGAGAGAGAGAGAGAGAGCAAGGATTGAGGCACTTGCCTTGCACAGGGCCAACCTGGGTTCCCTCCTTGGCACACAGATGACCCCCCAAGTGCCACCCGGAGTGACCCCCTAAGCACAGAGTCACAGATGAGCCCTGAGCACCTATTGGTATAACCCAATCCCCTTTCCTCATAAAAATTATAATGTGTTTCTTGACTGAAACTTAGTATGCAGATGATCATATACATACATGTGTATGATTTTTCTGTTTAAACTAGTTATACATTGAGATTCTGGTGGGTATTTTCTATACAGATCACAGATCACAGATCATCCTGTTATTCGTCGATTGCCTCGAGCAGGCCCCAGTAACGTCTCCTTCATCCTAGCCCTGAGATTATATTCAAGGCTCTTTAGGAGAATGAGACCCATCATTGTTACTGGTATTTGGCATATTGGGAACGCCACGGGGAGTTTGCCAGACTCTGCCGTGTGGGCAGGCTACATTTGGTAGCCTGCCAGTTTGTCAAAGTAGGAATGAGATGTCATAATAAGATGTCTATACAATAACGAGCCAAAAGGTTGTTTAATTTCTGTAATTTGAATATTTAGATTCCTGAGCTGACAGATGCCAGTGTGTTTTCTTCTTGTGAACATGACCGCTCCCCAAGAGAAATATGATACGAATAGGAAAGTAATAGAGGAATGTTAAATCACCTTTAAGTCAAAGAAGATACAGTGGAAGACCATTAAGTCATTAAATGAAAGTTTTATAGAAAGTCATGATTAATTACCTCATTTTTGTTTTGGTATGCCTATTTATCCAATAACTATTATAATAGTCAATAAATATTTTGACCGTGCCTGTGCTAAAAATTGTAAGAGTACTGGAGAGACAGATGTGCAAGCAAGCCATGCATGCAATTGATTCAGGTTCAAATTTTAGCACTGTGTATGGTCCCTGAGTACCATTTGGGGTCACTCATGAGCATAGAGCCAGGAGCACAACAGTATGAGCCCAGACTAATTTTTAAAAGTAGCAGAATCCAGGGCTAGAGCCATAGCACAGCAGGTAGGGCATTTGCCTTGCACACGGCTGACCTGGGTTTGACTTCAAGCATCTCATATGGCCCCCCCGAGCACCGCCAGGAGTAATTCCTGAGTGCATGAGCCAGGAGTAATCCCTGTGCATCACTGGGTGTAACTCAAAAAGCAAAAAAAAAAAAAAAAAAGTAGCAGAATCTAAAGTTAATAATTCTGTCCATATTGTCTGTATGATGTTGGCTGGGGAAAAATAATTTAAAGGTTGTCTTTGTTCAGATATGATGTAGACTTAATCATTTGAGACAAGTGAGAGAAATTGTGCTCTTTTATGTTTGATAATGGTTTTTAAGTAAAAAAAGGTAGAGATAGCAATGAATGTTGAAGTAATGACACTGTTTTGTTTTGTTTTGTCTTGGGTGGCCAAACCCAGCTATAATCAGGGCTTAACTCCTGGCTGTAATCTAAACTCAGGGATCACTCCTGGCCAGGCTTATGGGGAACCGTATGGGTCGCTGGGGATGGATCCCAGGTCAGCCATGCGCAAAGCACACCCCCTACCCTCTGTACTATCTCTCCAACCCCAAAATATTAACATTTTTAAAATCATCTATTACGTCACTATGTTTATATTTTTTCAATGGTGTCTTCTATTTATCAAGGTGTTTGAATTAGCATGCCCAAAGCTGGTATGTTCTTTTCTCACAGTAATGTGAATACTGTGGGGCTGGAGCGATAGCACAGCGGTAGGGCGTTCGCCTTACAAGCGGCCAACATGGCCGACCCAAGTTCGATTCCTCCGCCCCTCTCAGAGAGCCCGGCAAGCTACCGAGAGTATTCGATATGCCAGACACAGTAACAACAAAGTCTCCAATGGAGACGTTACTGGGCCCGCTCAAGCAAATCGACGATCAACGGGAGGGCCTTTTTACTTAAGGTGAATAAACCCCTAGTTAGTTTATTTGTGTGGCCTAAGTGTGTAATCTGTTCTCTGGTTTGGTGTGCTCCTTATTTGTCATGTATTAGAATAGCAACTAAAATGTTTCTGTATTTTTTTTTTTTGGACCATACCCAGCGGTCCTCAGGCTTAACCCTGGCTCAGCACCCAGGGATCACTCTTGGAGGTGCTCATGTGAACATATGGGGTGCTGGGGATCGAATCCAGGTCAGTTGTGTGAAAGGCAAGAGCCCTACCTACTGTACTATCTCTCTGGTCCCTGCTTTTGTGCATTTTTACTTAAAAAGCTTTATTAGGGCCAGAGTAATAGTACAGCGAGTAGGACCTTTGACTTACATGCGTCCGACCCAAATTTGGTCCCTGGCACTGCATATGATCCCCTGAGTACTGCCAGGAGTGATCCCAGAACACAAATTCAAGAGTAAGCCCTGAACTCTATCACGTGTGGCCCAATAATAAATAATTGTTTTTAAAAAGCATTTTATTGACCTTTAACAAAACCGGTCAATAGGTTTGGGATTACACAGGTTCCTTTCTATTTCAATAAATAATATAAATGTATTTTTCTTAATAACATTTTCTTTTCTCGAGCTTACTAAAGACTAAAATATGTAATACATTTATAAGATATATGTTAAGCAACTGTTATTAGTAAGGCTTCTGGTCAAAAGCAGGCAATTAATGGTTATGTTTTGGAGATCAAAAGTTATACCCGGGGTCCAGAGAAGTGGCTACGTGGTAGGGCGTCTGCTTTGCATGTGTGAAGTTGCGGGTTTGATCCCTGGCTGCTGCCTCAAGTAATCAGGTGTATTTCTTGGGTTCTGTCTGTGTGATCCCTGGTGCAATAACCAAGTCTTTGTGATTTTCAAATAAGTAAGTGCCATTCTCCCCACTCCACCACACCATAATAATGAAAGGAAGTGCGAGAGTTACACTCAGATTTTCGACTGTGTCAGAGTTCAGTGCCCCTAACCCCTGTATTGTTCAAGGGCCTACTGCCTGTTTCATTTTAATTTTCACTTATTCTTGATTTCTTTTGCAGGTTTGAGTGACATTTCTCCATCTACGAGCTTACCACCTCTGGTTGAAGGCCAGCTACGCTGCTTTCTGAAACTTACCGTTAATCGAGTCATATG